TCGTGGATCAATTGGCGCTTGGCGCGTTGCAGCGCCAGGATCCGATCCTCGATGGTATGCTGGACGAGGATGCGATGCACATGTACCGGTCGCTGCTGGCCGAGTCGGTACACACGGCCCACAGCCTGGTCTTCTACATACGGATTCCAGAACGGATCCAGCAGGATGACTTCGGACGCGCAGGTGAGGTTCAGCCCCGCGTTGCCGGCTTGAAGGGACACGAGCAGGACCCCACAGTCGGGGCGAGCGAAGGTCGTGAGGGCGGCGTCGCGGGCTGCCAGATTCATGCTGCCGTCATACCGTTCGAACGCCCAGCCTCGTCGCGCCAGGGGGACGGACAGGAGGTCCAAGAGCGCGGTGAATTGACTGAAGATGACCACTTTCTGGTTCTGACCGCGGCCCTGCACCGCGCGCACAATCTCGAGGGCCCGATCGATCTTCGCGCTGCCGGTCCAATGAGCTTCCAGATCTTTTTGGTACTGGCGCCGGGCCGCTTGGCTCGCGCTCGCCTGCCTTCTCCGCGCCGAGAGGCTCAGCCACGGGGCTGGATTCGGTAATGCGCGTGCGACTTGTGGCTGCGCGAGCAATCCGTCGTGCCGCAAGCCAAATTGAGCGAGGAGGTCCAAGTCCGCCGCCGCCTCGCTCGTGTGGTCACCGGAGGTAGTTGGATGAGCGCCGTCCCGCGAGCCGGCCGCCAGTGTGAGACCGGCGTGATCCTCTGTGCTGTCTGCTGGTGGGATATAGTGGCACTGGGAGAATGACGCGTAGTCGGTGATCTGGGAGAGATCAAGGAGGGTGCGGCAGGTGGGGCACCGCATCTGGTCGCTCTGGGCCGATCCCTGATGCTGCAGTCGATCATCGGCTGCGACCCGTTCAAAGCATTCCGGGCAGATGCTGTGGCCACACGGGAAGAATATTAGAGGGTTGCCGACCTGGGTAAGGCAGATGGGACAAAACTGCACGTGTTCGTTATCCTGCAGACGGGCAACCACGGCCTCGGCGAACCGTTGCGCATTCGCTTCGAGCTGCCGATCGGTGTCGTCGGTAACGTGCGGAACGAGGGACGGATGGCAGCACGCCTGTCGGAGACGTTGCAAGAGGCCCAGCATGTCGCTGCTGCGGACCCTGCGGCGATGGAGGCACAGGCGGAAGTGGTGCCGTGTGCGGCTCTCCAGCGCCGCGTAGAGTCTCTGTTCCTCCGAGCTAAAAGACACGTAGACCGTCCGGATGTGTTTCACCGGCAAGGAGATGATCGGCTGGCCGCCGAGCGTGGATAGTTGGGTGCGACGCAGCATGATCTCCTTGGCGAGCGCTTGTAGCTGCGCCATCGCCACCTGCCGGCTGCGCCTGCCGATGGTATCGCTGGTGGGTTGACGGGTCTAGCCTGCATTATCAGTACCGATTCGCGTCACCTCAGTATTCTGCAAGGCATCCCACGCCCGTCCAGGGGGCAAAGGTCGGCCAGGTGGGAGACAGAACTCACGGTGTTGGAGGCATCAAGGGCAGTGTTGGGATGAATCCGCAGGAACCGCAGCAGAGAACAGAACTCGCGCGGGCTGTTCATCACGGGAGTCCCGCTCAGACACCACCGGTACGTGGCATCCAGGGCGCAGCAGGCGGTAGCTACTTTCGACCGATCGTTCTTGATCGACTGCGCTTCGTCCAGGATGACGCGATGCCAGTTGCTGGACACGCCCAGAAGGGGCGAATCAGGCGATTGGCGCCGGAATTCGACCATCACCGTGCTGAAGGTGGTGAGGACGATCCCGGCCCTCGTGAGATCGTCGAACCTCGTTCGTCGTGCGGGCCCATAGTAGACGTGGACGCGCGGATACAGCGGATCAGGGGGCAGAAGCCGCTCGATCTCGCGCTTCCACTGCGGTACAAGGCCGGCCGGTGCCACTACCAGGGTTGACCGCCGGTCAGGGCTGGCGGGCGGGCGAGATACAATCAAAGCCAGGGCCTGGACGGTCTTCCCCAGTCCCATTTCATCCGCCAGAATGCCGCCGCGCCGGTGGCTCTGTTCCATCTGCGTCATCCAGCGCAGACCCTGCTCTTGGTGCCCCATCAAGTGCACCGTGAGCCTTGAGGGGGCGGCTTCGGATGGCAGCCAGGGGCCTGTCCCAGCCGCATTTGCAACGTCTCGAGACGCATCGGTCCTGCACCGGTCTCCAAGGTCAGCATGGTATGTCTCTGGCTGCTGGAGTGGCGGAACAGATACTTGCCCTACGGTTGGGGTTTCGGCGTAGGCTTCAACTCGACCAGGCGCCCCGAATGCAGCGGCGGGTGCGGCAGAGCCAGGCGTTAGGACGGACGTAACATTAGCAGCCGGCACAAGGGGGAGAGAGCATGCTACTCCGGGTAGCAGGCTCGGCCACTGCGGGGGATTCCCTTCTCCGGACGGGGTGGAGACGGTTGACACGGGACGGCCAGCCTCGAGAGCTCGCGCGCCCTGGAGGTCGTTACCCGGCATTTGCAGTCGGTCCCGTTCATCACTTCCTCCGCCGACAAACAGTAACGGATCAAAAACGTCGCACCCGCCTATCGCGTCCGCCCTTGGCATTGTTCTCCCGTGCGGGATGACGCCAGAAGGGGAACGGAAGGGCCGGAGGCTGGAGGCTGGTTCGCATGGGTACGAACCGTGACTTTCTAGTGGCGACGGAATCAGCGAGTCTCCTGTACTGATGCGTGTAATTGCAGGCGGGCGGGCATTCGTGGGACATCTGGTAATTGCCTCTGCGTTCTGTAAGCTCGCCATTCTCGCTCCTTGGCTATCCGTGGGCGCGGGTAGTGCCACCGAAGACGGGACGATGTCGAGTGAGGATGCCGACGGGGGTCCAGAGAAAAGAGGGGGACCTGGTAGTGGACATGATAGAGGATGCTGAGGAGTATGGTCGAACCATGCGTCTGGGAAAGCATATCCATTATCGTGCTCGGTAGGGTGTTGAGGAGCAGACCCAGGTTCATGCGCAGCAGACGGGTAACAGAGGAGGCGGCGCGGCCGGCAACATGGCGCCTGGTCTGCTCGGGACCCAAGACGCATGTCATCCTCGGCTCTTAGACTGGTTGGATAGAGTCGGAGTGAAAGCCCTTCGGGGCGCTTG